TAATGGAATGTTCTTTTTTCTGAGCAATGCCTAGAAAAAACTTGTTCTCATTTGCATGAATAAAAATCCAAACTCAAAGATCATGTGTTCATATTTCTAGCCCACACACGATCATAGCTTCTCTCGCACATAAATTCTTCACCTTCTAGCTTGTTTTTAATCCTAAAAACAACAATATCGCAATGTCCAAAAAAACTTATTTCAATTTGCAAGAATAGAAACTTGAACGCAAGGACCATGCGTTCACCGTTCTAGCTCACATACGGTCATAGCTATCTTGTATAGAAAACTTCCATAAGCTATACATGCAAGCTGAAATGAAAATTAAATCATTTCAAAAAACTGCCACAACTCATCTTCAACATAAATGTCTCCCATAAAAACATCCCACACTCTGAAGTAAAACCAAATCACTTAAAAAAACTGTCACAACTTGTTTCCAACAAAACCTCCCCAAAAAAACACCTCAAACTATCAAGAAAATTTTGTTAAACTCAAAATGTTCAACTCTTATCAAACGGAAACATCTTTCAAACCATTAATAAAAGTTAAGAAAAATTGAGAAAATCTGTGAAATAACTCTGAACTATCATTTCTTTTTTGTTGTCTTGAATTGACAATATTCTGAAAAACTTTACTTGAAAGCGTTTTGATCCTTCCAAGCACCATGTTGTCTACCCCAACTTTGAAGTCAGAATTATCAAAACAAGGAAACACAAACTTCACACCACGGTCAGTTTGTAAACTTACAATCTTTCAATTTCAACAAAAAATGTAGACAAATTTCAAAAAAATTGAAGATTCTACTAGATTGACAAACTTTCAAAAATAAAATTATCACTAAAAAAAACTTTATGCTCTAATATAGACTTCAAGCTGAAATAAGCTCTTATATCACTTCTCAATGGAGAATTCATAAAAACATTGGTGATAGTAATATGCAAGAATAAAAACGCGAGTCCACACGAATGTAACATGATTGATCACAAAGATATATGTCCACGAGGTAAGTTCATATGTGAGACTGTACTGAGTGTTATTGTAATACACAAATACTGGAATTAAATACCCCAGCATCGGCTATACTCCTAGCTATATATAGCTAAAACTTGAAATTACTCTTTAATCAGAGCTCATTTCAACAAGCAAACTCATATATTTGATGTTGTGCACAAGGTCTAATATTGCTCTAGCAATGAACAAGATGAATAGGTACCATAATAGGTTCATTGGGAAGTAGTGAAATGAATTATCAAATTTTTGAAAAGTTTTAAATTTCATGATTCATTGTTTGATGATTTATTTGACAATGCCAAATACTTGTTAGATTACATTCATGTTACTTATGGACAAGTATCAAGTATCAATCTATATCACAGGAAATTTATAACTAGATATATGTTTACACTTGGTGATAGATGCATTAGTTAAAAATCTATCTTCTAGAAGTGCGTACTTTAATCTACAACGGACGTTTGAGTATGTTGTGACAAAGGAATACATTTGATTTAATAGACTTATCATTGAAATAAGATTAAAATGGGATGTTGTCAATCTTCATTGTGATAATAAAAGTGCTTTACATCTTGCTGCAAATCAAATGATGGACAGCAGAGTGAAACACATTGATTTCAAGTATCAATTTATCATACATGTTTCTTTTGATAAAAATAAATTGAGCTAGTCAAGATTGACGTTTAATTCGATCCAATTGCTACGTTTATCAAAGTTATTGTGATAAAAGTGACATTGTGCTACTGTGTAGGTTTGCATGAGGTGCACAAATCGAATTTATTAGCATTTCAGTTCACTTTGTATATCAATACTCTATCTTGTTTTGGCTATGTTTTACTTCTAGTTAACTTTAGTTTAAGAAATATGTTTTGTTATGTATTCTTCCAAGATTTTCCTGAGTTATTATGTAGGTTACAAAAATGACTATGCACTCAACATGAATTAAGGGAAGATTGTTAGGTTAAACTTCTATTTTGTTTTAACTCAGGTTAGTTGTTGGTGAGTTTAGTTAACCTGCCAAAGTTAGCTACCACTATATATACTTGGAGCCAAGTTTCATTTTGACTTTGAAATTTTATAAACACTGAGTTTTATTCTACTATCAAGATTTTATTTTTAATTTGAAATCAATGATTTCATGACTAAAATTTTTATGTAAAGTTTATGATTTTAGTTCAAAAAACGTTTTCACAAACTTATCAAGATTTTTTGTAAGTAAATTTTATTTTTATTTTTAAATTCATATAGAATCATGAATTTAAAGTATTTTTTATATCTTTTTTGTGTAAGTTTAAAGTTTCATATCTATAAAATTCAAGCTTTTATGTGATTTAACTGGACTTGATATGATTCAATATTTTGTTTCATTTTATTTCAAGGAAAATTTTTTTGTCAAGAACTTAATTTGATAAAATTTGAAATAAAATGACAAAAATTATGATATAAGTTCAAAATAAAACAAAATTAAATTTTTTGCTTTAAACTTATTCGTTTTTTACACAATTCTAACATTAAGATCACATATTGTAGTGATTTGTATATGTGTTTTTAAAAAAAATTTGAATTTGCAAAAAAATTCTACAAATTCTAATGCATGAAATTTATAATAATTAAATTATCATATAAATTGATCCATTGTTCAAAAAAGTTGATATTTTTTGATTTTATAAAAGTTGAATTTTTTATATTGTTTATTTACGATGTATGAACAAATTTCTAGGCTAGAAGATCAATATGTGACAAATTTGAAGTGTTTTAATCACTTTTCGCATGTTAATTTAAGCAATCAATACCAAACAATTGAAATAAATTGAATTTTTAATAAATTGGGATAATTTTGTTGATTATTAATGATGTTTCTAGTAAAATTTAAATCAATTCAAGACAAATGACTCATAGTAATTTAATTTGTTATAAACTGGAGTGAATATTTTCATAATGTTTATCATTATAGCAGATTCGTAATCAATCAAAGCCAAGCTATTGATAATAAGTGAATCGTTAGTGAGTTGGAATAGATATTTTCACCTTTGTTGACATTATCAATAGTGTTTTTTGACACAATCAAATCCGAATAAATGAAAATAAAGGTATGTTTAATCAATTGGAGTAAATTATGTTAGCATTCATTATCTTAGAAACTAATTCAAAACCGCCTCTCTTTTTTTGTAACCATTACCACTTCTTCTTTTTCCGTTTCACATGTTTAAATTATTGTAACCACGTAATATACTTAGTCTCGTGACTTACAAAAGATTACTATGTTACTGCAGTTATCTCGTCTGGATTCTAAAAAGATCTTCACAGAAAGCTAAAGACTTCATATAAAACAGCTACATGCAGCCTAAATTTTGTGTGAAACTCATAGGAAAAGATGAAGGCGACCAAGGAAGTTGGAGAGAGCAATTATCTTAGGAAATGCCACTGGGTAAGGCATTTCTGAGGTTTAATTTTCATGGATCATAACGACTTGACACTGACTATGATTATTGGTGAGGGTTTTTTAAAAAAAGGTAAATAATTTGATTCATGTAAAAACCACAAATGAGAGTGATCAATACAAGTCAAATAAAAAGTCAAACACATATAAGCTCTCGTCTCGTTGCATAGAGCGTTGTACTAAGAAAAGGATACAGAAAGAAAGAAAGGATTCAAATAAACTTTAATGTAGGGATATCCAAAACCAAGCTTAAAGTTCATGGAGGTGGAAGTTAGATCAACTACATGTTAAACAACCTTCAAGATTGATAGAGATCAGATCAACTAGATCTGTTACAAAACGCAAAATTGCGTGAAGTTCACACTGTCAAATCTTGCAATGTGAAAGTCATGTGGTTCTCCATCGCATACAGTGGAGAATCTCTAAAAGCCAACCCCACTCTTGTTGAAGAAAGTGGCAGGGCTGGGGTGCTAAGACTCCGAAGGGACAATCGGTGATATGACACCATCACCATGGGAGAGGGATATGCCCAGTAGTACAAACAATACCATGTACTACTTTCATGTACTACTACTACCAATTCTGGCAGCAATTTACCAGGATAGTAACGAATGCTTTACCAAGTCTCGTGGACTAGAAATAGTTCGCCACAACTCCCCTTTATTGTTGGCCTATAAATAAGCCCAGTCTAGCAACGTTAACCGTTTCTATTCTTCGGAATCTCCTCATTAGGGTCCAGTGTGGACAATAGTTGCCACACTTGAATTGAGACTGCTAGTTTCACCGAAAGTTTTTTAATAACCCAAAAAAATAATCATCATCTACTCAGCTTTAAATTTGTTCTCTAAATGCTTCTCTATAAAGTCAGACTAGCAATACTCGTAGAGTTCATAGCTCATGCTGGACATTCAGTGAGTTGTAATTCTGACCTCAAGCTGGCCACAAGTTGCTAGACCCTACTTGAGCCGTCAAGTATATTGTTCGTTACATACATGGTTAAGGCTAAAATCTAGTCATTAGCTTTTACTGCATACAATTACTATTTTGGTGCTAAGGACAAAAATAACAATAGACATCCTCGAATCACATATTAAATATACAACGAAGCTTTCCCTAGAGTGAAAAGAGGTCATATGTATTGATAAACTGGTAAGATTATACACCAGAAGGATTAAAGAGTAACTACAGGACGTTGTTTCAATCTGTGAAACATACAAGAAAGATCTTTTTTGCCAGCTCTATGTGCTATCTATTGTTTCCGTCCAATGATTTTCTTTGAGATATCCACTTACACAAGCGAGCTCTCAACCATGAAATTTGTTTTCCTAATAGCTTAGTCAAAAATAGTACCCCTAAATAACTGAACAGTACGACATGGATCAAAGAATGCACTTTAGACAGGGGATGCACTTCACAACGACTTTGCACTGACCGAATACAAGGAATCCAGAGGACAGACCATAACCACTTTAGACAAATTCATGAAGTAAATTGCCAAAACATTGAATTCTATTTGCAAAGAGGTACACAAGAATCCTTATTGCAGGTGATTGCGGTATGTACGAATCTGATCTTCAATAAAGAACAGGAGATTTCGATTACGTTGATTCACATCAAGGAACAATATTATGCATCCATATGCTGTCCCGTATCTCGTAAAATTATCCTTGAATGATCAACACATGACACCAAATTACGGCCCATGTTGTTGTGGTAAGTGTGCAGAACAATCAGCTACCTGATTAGAACACTGATATAAGAAGAATCTTAAATCTGGTCATCGTGGCTGTAGTTCAGCACACTGCGGGACAAACCTGTAATGCAGGAGCTCGTGTATGTTATCATATACTAATGCGTCAGCGAGCAGAAAAACAAACAGTCCAGGTCTGGAGCAACCATTACTCATGTACAATGTGGGAGAAGACCTGTAGCCACCAGAAAGAAAACCTGAAAGTGATAGCCGATAGGCAATCATTTCTGGAAGAGAACGGGACGAATAGACAGCAGATAACTTATTAGGTACAAAAACGGTTCTCATGGCTCTGTGTTCCACGAATGAAACGTAATTTGAGAATCATGGTGTGCCAAAGTTCAGTACCTTCTGAACGATTGGCTTACGATTAGGCCCGACCTACCAGTAGTCGGGTGCACTTTCGTCATCAGGTTTCGCCAAATTAATAGATGGAGGTTGAGACTAATTGATACCAATTTACAAATAGGTGCAAAAAAATCAACTCGACTTATGACACACTAAAATAAACTGATGCTTGATGCAATGAGATGTAGATACAAATGTGTTGCAACTCACCATCTATTAGCTAAATTGCAGAAAGCACGATCATTCCACTTCACATGAAATAAACGCGAGCTTTAGTACTGTTCCAATACGAGCTCTTCAAGAATTCAGCGCTCCATTGAGTCTGCCTCATCTGAACGTTGGACTGATTGTGCTTTAGACTGCATGTGCAGCAATTGCCTGTATTCGTTCACCAACGAGGGAATATCATCCATCCGCACCTGTATAAGATGACACTCATTAACGACTACCTCGGTATACATAGGTTGTTGACGAAGCAGATTAAAACCGAAACGGAATCATTGTAGTTCGCTTCTCACGAGATCTGTGAAAACCTGTAATACATACCTGACTGGCATCTTTGAAATGATTGAAGCGATAAACATGCATTTTCGAGAGACTTGCTTCGCCGTGTAGTGCGGAGTCTTCAAGGAGCCCACTACTGCATAATACAGTAGTATTATATTACTTTTGGCTGTATGATTCAATAAGCTCAGGAGGCTTAGGAAGCAATATCTACTATTGCACGTAATGAAGCAAGAGAGGAACTTCACTGTCAAGGAGGTTGACCATCACAATAAGAGAGCCAAATATCTCTCTTGGACGGTGATTAGAACTGGATGAAGGTCCAGTTCTTCATGAAAGGGTGAAAACTTGACATCTTACAACCGTTCAAGAAATTTTTGAGGACAGTGTAATTCATCTGAGATAATGCAAAAGCAAACACACAAAGGCTACAAAGATGGAGAAAATAAACTATTCAGAGAAGAGTATTGTAGATTACCTTTGTAGGCCAGCTACAAGCCTTTGATAATCACGAAGGAGAATGCCCAGTTCTTGCAATCTGATTAACTGTACTTCGCATAGTCTCCAATGGTCTCGCGCTGCCTGCACTCATCAATAGTAGAAATTTAAGTTCACCATATTTTAGAACATTCGGTTGCCCTGAAGACGATTCTTCCCAACTTCTCACTTCTTATATAAGGTGGGGCTAGCCAAAACACGAAGTTCTTGGAGGTGATCCAGATGTATACTTAAAAGGGTGACGCTAGCCAACATTGCAGCTCTTGTTCCAATTCAGAGTATACCTATTTAAGTGCTTGTTCACGTGGCAACATCAAACAGTAAATATGAAATTATAGGAGGGGACATTTAAGAGTAGCAAATTAGATTCTAAAATGTACTTTGTTTCCATTCGGTTTGTCCATCCTACACACACCCAGGATCAGTTGACCGTCTGACGCCCCTACCTTCACGATTGCAGCTTTGTCTTTCGTCGGAGATAATCCTTCAGCAGAGAGCAGGTTTTGACCCAAAGCAAGTAATTCTTCGTCACTTGTAATCGAATCAATCACTAAAGGAGCAACAGCAACAGTGGGGAGACCTAGACGCTGCCGCAGTGTACTCAGAGGGGAAGGTGATAGTTCCTTAACCTGGAAAACCACACAATACATGTAAATTATGTAAATCTTGTTGATATCCAGGCAATTCCGTTAGAAACGCTCTGAGGCCTCTCACAGACGCTAGAAAAACAACAATTATTCTCACCGTTGCTCCTTGAGAAGATTCCCGCTGCTTCGAAGGAACAGAAGTATTTGCCGGTAAGCTACTCCTCGGGGACAGTGATGCCCTATTTGCAATTGGATCATCTGCATTATCGTAAAATCGGTAGCTTTGGGTGTTAGTCTCCGTTGCTTGATGCCCAGAAAAGTGCCTCATGTAATGCTCGAGATATAAGCCAAAGATATAAATCCAATCTGCTGACTGGCGCAAGAGAAGTAAATTGAATTTACCTTCAGAAACCAACCACCAAATGTCGCCGAATGTGTTTTTCCCATCATAACCACCAAGAAGTAAGAAACGATATCCAATACGAGACATCGAGTGGTATGCCCGTGCTGGGGGTTCATTGGATACAGGAGGTTTCTTCCAATGGGCGGTAGCTGCATCGGGCAATGCAGCGACTGGTAAGTTTTAAGGTGTAAAACAGGCAAGAGCATGCGACATGTAGACCATCACTTGATTAGAACAGATGAATAATTGACAGTTGCTTATAATATGAAGGTGAGTATTAACGATAATATATATATGGCATTGCAAAGCAGAACTTTAGGCTTGCAATGAACTGGAGAAAAAATACACGCTTCATGCCAGCATTGTAAATCTTCACATAGTAAACGTGATTTCTGCCTCAAGAAACAACGCCCCAAACAGATCCGGTAGCTAGGCTATCAACGTGACGTACGAATGTAACCTTTCAACAAACTTAGTGCCTGTTGTTGGTCGCAGCGCAGACACTAGATAAAGCATATACATAATTTTAAAACTGTTTCTCAATACACCCAGACACTCCTTTACATCTTACCAATGAAAAATAACAACTTAACGACAATGTCAAAATGAGAAAGTGATGCTGCAGTTAAGTTCATACCACGGTCGAGAATGACACAATCATTGTGATACACATCATACCGGGTAAGCCATCCACCAGTCCCATGCCCGCCAAAAATCAGCAACTGCAGGAAATTAATACGGATTTAGAGAAATCTGGAACATAGAATATTTCGTTCATCACTCAACATGAGCCGCAAAAAAATATAAAAAATTGGATAAAAACTGGACTTGGAATTGTGGTTCCGAGATGATCTTGCTGCTCTACCCGATGCACAAATTGCTTATCATAGAAGCTTGGGTAGGAGTACACGTATGATTGCAAAAAAGGTTCATACCACATTGCTAATCTACACGTGGCTTTCGCCAAGGATACCCCTATTCTCCGAAGCAGTACTTGATGACAGCTAATATGGCGATCGTGTTCACATCTCATGGACCGTGTACATGTATATCGCAAAAAACGTGGTAGCTTTAAGAATGTCGACCTTTAGATGGTTCTGGCATTGTGCACATGTTTTGACATGTGCACAAATTAAGCACCATGCAACTAAAATAAACTTGTCCTAAACGTTGTTTACCTTTGTCATTCCAGTCATAATCTAGTATCCTCAAAACAGTTGCCTAAGAAATTTTGATCACCTGGGGTCCACCGGCAGTAGTAGAGTGGCCACATCGAGCAGCAGGGGAAGACCCAGGAATTTTCAGTTGTGTCCAGGCTGGAATCTCTCTCTCTGCAGCAGATGCGCATAGACATGGGTGTTTATAATCTCATCCACGCGAGGAAACATGAACTAAAATCTTTGCTTAAACCTTTAGGGGATAAATAGAATTTCGTGACCGACTAATCACTTTAAAGAGCTGAAAGACTAGTCCAGATCGTAAATAACTTCTTTTCTTTCAAATACCTTCATCAAATAGACCTTTCAAAGCCCACAAATCTCCCATGATTGGCCCACCAGCGCCTGAAAGGTAACAAACTCACCAATAATTATAAGCCCATGATTTTTTCTCAAGCGAGGAACTGGTCAAGAGCTCATATCAAGAAAACACACATATAGATTTCAATAAAATCTGCAGTTTTAGAAAGTGGAACAACCATCTCAACAGGTCAAGGTGACAGACTCCACTACTACTTACGCTTCATCGCATATATTAGAATTTTCTTCAGGTAAACGAGTTTCAATCTGTGACAATAGAAGATATTAAGCTAAATTCCTCCATCGAAACGTGAAGTTTAAGCAAATCTTTCAAATTTCTAAACCAACAATCTCAGTCACCCATGCATAAGATTGTATGGAAGACGAGGAAATGCTGTCGAGACATTCAAGCTTTCTTCGAAGTCACTCACCACGACCACCGAAGATTAGCATTCTCTTCTCAACCATGGTAGCAGTGTGACCACAACGAGGTGGTGGTACAGGCCCTTGGAAAACCAACTCTCTCCATTGGAGAGAAACTGCGAAGGTAGTCCAAATTCGGTTCTTAGCAAAACCCAATTTCCACCAAAGCACTATGATCACTGGCATTGGAACAACTGAAGACAATTCGTGTCTATAAAATGAAGAAAACGGTAGCTTGACGAGTAGGTTAAAGCTGTACTTGTATCGAGAACATAAACATCTGAAAGCCACTTTGTTCCATCCCATCCACCGTAACTACATCAACGACCTCCAAGACATGAGCAATGCTGGCCACCCTTGTTAATCCGCATCAATTTGCAGTGGAAGTCTACACGCAGGTCACAGCATGAAGAAGCAAAATGGACAGAACAGCGACAGATAGTTATGGCAAGACCAACTCAACAACATGATGACCACTTCCACGAACGAAGAGGTCCAAATGTTCATGTTTCTTCTGGACCAGTTCTGATGATAGTCAATGCTAAGGTGTAGAAAGTCAAGTGTGGGTCAGGCACTGAGAGTATATGCTTACATGACAATCTTCCCGTTGCCTACTGAAGCACCCGCTGCAAATTCCCGAGGAGGTGGTAGTTCGCCATAACCAGAAAGTTCAGCCCATTGCCAAGTGTCTGTACCAGAAGAAACGCTTTAAAATTTTGCAGTACTAAAACAGATACATATCTAGTGTAGAGAAATTCATAACTTGAAACTTACGTCGAAACAGAACATTTAAAAGAGTGGTCATATAGAAAAGAAAAAAAAAGCTTCAAAGCTTTTGATCAACGAGTAGTACATAGTGCTCACCTGTATCTAGCATCCAGAAATCACCCAACCTGATAGTATCTCAATATTAGTACTGTATCATTCGGCCGACCACAGGGTATGAAGCCATTTGAAGACAAAGAACGAGTTACATGAAATTCAAAGGCCAAGCAGTAAGACAAGTTCACGAGTAAGGTGGAGGCTTCGGACCGCTTACGGCCACATCGACCACCAAATATGAACAAGTGGCAATCAATGGCCACGCAGACATGAAACGCTCGAGGGCTGGGGCCAATGTGCCCGGATTCTCCATTTCCAGTACATTCGGGTTTAAACCATTGCAACGTGTCTGCAAACATAAGGTTCCGCACACAAAATCACAAGTCGTCCACGAGCAGCCACGACCGAAGAACATAGCCTTGATATAATTTCGGCATAATGCACTTGCACCGCGTAGGTACTTATAAAAAGCGAGTCACCAGAAGCGGTTTGAGTTTTACTTCTTTCTTTGCTTCTCCTTTCACTTGACTGACTCTGAAGAACATTACTCACCTGTGTCTAGAACGACTAGATCATTCAGGAATTTTTTGTCCACCAAACCACCAAAAACTGCTAGCAATGATTTCCCGACCTTGATAGCTGTGTGACCACTGCAAAATCCTCAAGGTCAGGTCTTCCGAGGTGAAAAATATAAATACATGTATCAATGTCAGAACACCTTTCACCATGAAAAAGGCGAGTGTTCAAATGGACAATAACAAAGATATGACGATGAAAAATGACCAGTCAACAACTGGAGACAACTCAATTTTGTCTACTGATGAGAAAAATGCATCACAAATTAACTCCTACAAGTCCATGCTAGCAGCCGAATTGCTCTTGATAGTCATTCTGCAGACAAACTCTGTATTTATCTGCGAACCTTCGCAATCAAAGCCTAATTGAACAAGCCACAGACCTTTCCTCGCCCTCATATTCATCAAACCCTCATTGGCCAAACAGTCACATTCTCAAAACATCTACATCCAGAGGAGGCAAAATCTTTGCATTACGCTCGAATAACTTCAGAAAATTGAACCCCGATGTGTGCCCACGTCAGATTGTGCCGAATCACGTTCCAAATGATGCAGTGTGAGAATTCAATACCTCCGCAGGGATGGCGGATCGCCCTTGAAATCTCTGCCAGTGGCTTGAACCCACCTCATGCCTCCAGATTTCTAAGCTCGCCTACAATCAACAGTCTGCTACGTGCCCTGATCTGATACCGATTCCACTCGACTGCGATGAGGCTCAACGAGATAAACCCCTGTCCGATCAATCATTAATCCTCGGCGGCGGCAGCAGCAGCATAACCTGTCACCGGGATGTAGTCAAGCAGTCGAAATTCACACCCGGATTCCTCCGGGCGCAGTGCAATCAGGTCTCAAATGGCCGGTACCTCGTCCTGCGATTTGGGAACGGGACCAGTTGTCTCATGGACTGCTCGTAGAGCAGGTCTAATCAGCAGCGACCAGATGTCCTGCTCTACACAGACAGTCCAGTGATCCGGGCTGTCCTTCCGGCACAAGAACTTTCCACCAAAGTTCGAGTGAAGTCCAAGTACGGTCGCGAGGAGGCTTTTATGAGCTGAAGAGTGGGGCGGGGGGGGGGGGGGGGGGGGGGGATTGCAGCAAAGCCCACTTGGGCCCTATTTGGCTGCTCTGTCCTGGACACGTAATTTTATGAACGTCACATCTCTGCGAGCGAGAATCGCCTCCATTAAAGATCCGCTTCTCTGGCGCTGTTCTGCTCAGATCTGACGCTCCGTTTCTTCCGGCCTTTAGTGGATGTTGAAACAGACCGTCGAGTACTGTACTGCACGCTAATTTGAGCTGCGCTTAAATTCTCGGTACACAATCATGTATATATATATATATATATATATACAGTATATATATATCCCAAAGCCGAAACTGTAACAGGCTGCTAGGATGAACATGTGAAACATTTCGTTCTTCTTATTGGGGTGGATATGGTGATCAACCATGTTTTCAAATGAGATGATTATTCATCTTTGGATAGAGTAGAACCAATATATCCAAGTATGTGGATAATGAAGAGATATTATTTATATTTTGTCTTCTATTGAAAAAATATGTGCAACTTCTACATGTAAGTGAAAAGAGTCGTAAAACGTATCAATATATGCAACAATGTGTTCGTTATGCTTTTTTTTTTCATTACTCTACAAAAGACTACATATTTCTCCCTTTATGTATTGATGTGATCTTGAGCGCATTTTTCATTATCTACTTGGCTTCTGATTAGAATCTAACATATGCAATATTATCAGGTTAAAAAAGTGACATTTCTTGTAACTTTCATGATATTTTCTTATGCAATATTTAATAGACATGCCTACAAAATTGTCCATTCAACTGAAGATATCATCACTTGCTCTGAAAAAATATCATGTGTATTGTTGTATACCATAACTTTTGCAAAATTAAATAAGCATCAGATATAAATGGACCTAGGGTTAAAAAATACAATCATTTCCTCCATATGTAATATAAATTTTAACAAGTTAAAGTATCAATAAGTCTTACACCTTCTAGAGTTTTGACAAATAATTGGATCATGGGTATATCTACTACCGTATTTTTTATGCCACAAATTCATAATCGTGTTTGTGTGTGCATGTTGACATGTCGAATCGGAATTGTATTAAATATGTAGACCTGCAACATCTGAATTAGAACCACATTCATATTGAGTATTGATTATGTGGTTGTATATATCAAAGAAAGACATAAGTTTATTGCTATACAACCGAATGATTGATACAAGATCCAATGCATGGCTGTACTATTAAAATAAAAGTTTTAATTTATTATACAAATGAAAAAACCGTTGAGAAAAAGGTTTCATCGAATTAATGAAACATATGTGAGCCTAAATCTATTTCTATTGTCAACTCAAATCCAAGGACTAATATTGTACAATACATATATAAAATATGTGTATCAATATCTCAACTGCATCATTTTTTGAAATCCTAGTTTTTTTTCAACAAACATATGTTATACAAACATTTTTCAGGTTTTTTTTCATCCATATTTTTTTCAATTATCAAATTTTTTACAATAAAAAAAACTCGTCAAATCTTCAACTAAAGACCATATAAATGTTTTACAAAATTCTCAAAATTTTTAAATTTCAAATAAACAAAAATATTCAAAAAATTATATTCACATATTATGTGTTTATTTATTTACAATTTAAATTTCTGATTATTGGATGAAGCTTAAAAAGAATTGTTTGTAAAATAAAAAAAATTGAATTAAACTCTAAATATAAATATGTATATACACACTTTTATCTTTATAAAATATTTGAAATTAAAGAATTGAATTTTGGAAATTTAGAATGTGTCTAATAATTTTTTTCCAAATATTTAGTGAAATGATGTGAAATGACATGAGTTGGATGTTATATTAATCATGTTTTTTATGTTTAATGTTAAATGTCTTATTAATTATATTTTTTTTAAATATCATGCAGTAAAAAATTCATCTCAATACATTTTCATGAAGGTAAAAAAGAGTAGAAGAAAAAATTATTTTTGATTAATATTTATTTTTATTTGAAATTTAAAATTTTGAGAATTTTTTTTAAACATTTATATGGTCTTTAGTTGAAGATTTGACGAGTTTTTTTTTGTAAAAAAATAGAGCAAAAAAATATTGAATATTTATACACATTGTATAAAAATGTATATATATATATATATATTTATTTATATTTAATAGTTCTTTATGATTAAATAACATTTTAAATTACCTAATATAAAATATATAATGAAGAATGCATTAAATAATTATTATATTGACATTAAATATTTCTTTATCTAAAATGTTCATTTTTTTGTGCAAAATAATTTTTCTCTTCGTTAATTCTAACAAACTGACATAGATTTTCTGCATATAATATTATTTCATTGTTTTCTTCAATTATATTTAAAATTATAATTTAATTCAATTTTTTGAATTTCCAATTATAAATAATATTCATGAAAAATATCAAAATTTACACTTAAAGTTTATAAACAATGTGTTATGGATCTAGATGCTTGTGATCAACGTAAACATTACATATTACAAAATAATGTTGTGAACTATAGAAATTTTCTATTTTGTAAACGTTTAATTTCAATACAGATTGAAGAATAGAGTTCGGATTGTTATTGGTGCAATTGACTTCATTATGATTGCTTATAAAACTATTTAATATCACTGAATAATTTATGGCTAATTTTGATTATTATACATACACCAATTAAATAACATAAGTTTTCAATAGAAATTATAAATGATTCAATCCTTACACCTATTAAAATTGATACAAAAAACTCGTGATTCGTGAGAGATTTAAATCTAAAAATAAATATCAATGTATTCTCATAATTTTGAGCAATATAAAATACATACTTTTTTATTCTCATTTCAAGCGAAATAATCTCTAAATATCAAGTGAAACATCAATGAGGAGTTTAACATATTTGATTCAATTTGTTAAGCCCTAATTGCTTATCCAAATTATATAATATTCTAAACATTCAGTTTGAATATTTATGTTAAAATATAATTGACAGAAAATATTCTTTCAATTTCAACGATTTATCATATATTATTTGTAGATTTTTTATTCATACTTAAAAAGATATCAAATTTCTTTTCCCCATATAGTTGAAATATTCTGATTTTTTACAGATATTTAGTAGTAGTAATATTCTTATTAATATTTTTGAATAAAATTTATAATTATAAAACATCATTTTATATTTTAATTAAATTTTCATCATATTTTACTCTTAATCAAATATTGATTAAATATTTTTTGGATTAGTTTAAAAAAATAAATGAAGTATGTTTTCAGTGGTAAGAATCATCTTGATAGGTTTGTCAAATGCATGAAATGTTTTAATATTTGGTGTTTTTTTGAAACTCAATATTTTTTGATGAAATTTTTTTATGCTTTATAATTGTCATATTACATGTACTTCTATAAGTAGTTAAGTAGACGTGTGGATGATTATTCAAATATAATGGTTAGAGATGAGAGTGAGAATAGAGTTATTATAAATGTAATGCTTACGGGATAGAGTTTTCAAACTTTACTTTTGTGATTCCGAATATGATGAAATAAGCTCATTAATTTCTTCAGCATAGAGAAGTAAATTATAAATTATATTTTTATAGCATGAATGAAGAGTCTTTATGAATGTTTTAAAAATAACAAAGATTATCTTGTATCATTTATTTTGATGTCTGGAGATCTACCACAGAAGATAGATATCTATCGTGATATGCATGACATGCAACATGGAACTATGATTGTTTAGGATTTGTTAACATATCACAAACAGATCATGTGAGATAAAATGTTTATAATCTTAGTGAAAAGAGAAATAATGAATACAATTTCAAAGAGTTGTAGCAAGAGATGTTTGGCCTAACGACCAAAATCAAATTCGTTTATCAGATGTGAACAGACCGTAGCAATATTATTGAGCAGAGATGGAAAGCGGTTAATCAGACTTTCATGTCGATGTCCAAGTACTGTACCGTAAGTCCGCTCACGAAACAGATTGTTTGGATGTTTTTGACAGTGTTGAATTTGTTCACACCGTAAATGCCGCCTTGAGCGGAATGTCTCCACGTGAAGAATCTATGGAGCTCTTCCAAGGAAAAGACACCACGAAAATATGCGAGATCTATTTCCAGGGGGGAACAACGTTGGACCGCCTGACCTGGGGACGCCGTTTTTGTCCAGTGGACGCCATGATGCTCATGTTCCCGTTCCCGAGATGAGTCCGGGTTCGAATAAATGAGAGGAGTAAATGGATGGGATGATGGGACGGAGCATACCCAACTTTTCCCATACCTTGGGCACCAACTTCGCTTTATACAGCTCCGGATCTGCTGGAGCGACCGGTTGTTCGCTAGTGACGTACTGGTCAGAGGCGCCACAGAGCCAATGACCGGCAGCGCAAAAAGGGTTCCTTGCCTCCGGAGGGGTAAGATGGACCGAGTTCAAACTTTATGAATGCGACCGTTAATGGAGATGGGTATGGATGGGTATGGATGGTGATGCAGGGATGGGTGGGGGGGGGGGGGGGGGGGCGCGCGCGGAGAGAGAGAGTGAGAGCGTGAGAGACAGAGAGAGACTGCCACTGGGGAACACCCGGTGCAGGGGGGGACGGGGAGGGGGGGGTGGGGGGTGGGGGGGGAGCGCCTATGCATCGGGTACAGAACAGAACAGGAGGAGAAGAGGATGATGACAGGCGTGACATTCAAATACTAACATTTACCGCGTCTGCGTCCGCCGGTAATTGACCGGCGAGGTTCTGCAGAAGGGGGAGGATTTAAAATCGGGGGCGCTCGATCGATCGGAAGAGTGCGGAACACGACGGTAGTAGGTGGCCGAGGAGTGCGGATGGACGGAGTGTCGTCGGATCGCGACAAGGCAACGGCGACTGCGCCGTCCCGGCCCGGGTTCCAGACATCCTTCCCCGCGCAGAACTCTGGACTGTGGA